TCAGACTGCCTTTGGCTGTCATGCATTATTGAATCTTTAACAATGACTGTCCCAGTCCAGGAACATTTTTTTTTTTTTTTGCTTTTACATAGTTCACACTGCTGGTCAGCTCGTTTCTTCTGTCCATCTTCATCTCTGTTTCCTCTCAGTAACTGTCCCATTTCTTGCTTTGTTCTTATTCATCCTCTGCTGACTTTTGTCTCGTTTTTAAACCTCACTCCCTCCTGCACAGATCTCATGTCTGCATTCTTCTCCTGTGAGATCTTCAGATCAGTCCCTCATGTGTGCTGTTTGACATGATAATCTATGCATGGAGTTTGACTACAGGAAAATGACATATTGTCTATTTTGTTGCTGCTTGTGAATGTTTCTGGCCTTGGATCCCTTATGCTTAATACAGTGCTGACATGCACCGCAGGCTTCATTGTGAGGATTTCCAGCCAGGAGACAACCTCCTCTGGGGAGGTCAGGGCTAAAGCAAGGTCAGGTCTAGGTAGGTGGAGACTTTGGCTCCTCAAGTATCTGACGTGGAATGTTTGAGCTCGTTGCCAGGCAAAAAGGAAGATTTTGATTTACATTGCGCTTTTTTTGAGCAGCTTGTCGCAATTAGTGATGTCAGGAGGGAAAGAAATAAATATGAAGCATTTCTTCAAAGGGCACATGTTTCCTTCTCATGAGTTCATTCTTTCCTTTGGTTTGTCAGAGAAAAAGGGGCAAAAGTGCAGCCTATTTCTCATCCTGTGGTGTGGGACATGGTGCCATAGTCAAGAGTTTCAAAGTATCAAAACAGGGACACAGCATAAAGATGGGGCTTAATATATTGTTTTTCTTGTGTACACCCTTAAAGAGTTGAGATTATTTGTGTACTGGATAAGATGGATGACAGTAATGAAACTAGTGACAGTCCTGAGCTGTGCCTCAACTCTGCAGCGGTACGCCTGTTTCCTTGATGAAACAACATGACGGCTTTGTTTAATGCACTGCTTACATTTCATTTGCCTGCAGTATGTTAGATAATATTTCACAGTGCTGTAGTTTGCGAGCCCTGGCTGTGTTCTTCATGATCACAGCTAGCAGTGCCAAGTTTCCCCACTCTCCTCCTGGCTGTAGGTATCCCATGCAGAGGCCATCTGTCTCTCCTCCCTTTATGGTTAGGGTGGAGTCCTCTTTAAGCACCCCCCACCCCCCATCCCCCTTTCTCACCCTCCATTCCTACTCCCAAATGCTTACAGTAAAACAAACAGGACATAGCATGGATGGAGTCTAGTTTCTGTGTATGCTTTGACAGGCCTGAAAGCTGACATACTCGGAGACAAACTACGTATGGTAGCATTTGGAGTGTTGTGTCAGGTAGCTACAGTATGTCGAGCATGTTAGGGAGAAGCCTAGCTGGTCTGAAACACGTGTCTGCATGCATCAACACAATGTCATGCCTGCCAAACATGTTAGTTTACTACTCAGACAACCAGTGTTGCAGAATGATTTTTAGCAGTCATCAGTATTCTTGTACCAGCTATACATATATTTTGTAAAAATGTACCTCTTTTCAAGCTTTTGTCACTGCATTATAGTTATTTTTATATTTTTTGAGCTAAACGACTGAGTTGCACTAGTAAGGTGACTACAAACAGCTGTTGTGTCAGCTCAGATAACTGGAGAGGAGAAGGCAAAACCCACATGGCCACAATGACCCTGATTCCTCCCCACACTAGTGCACCCAGAGAACTCAGTCATAGTTTACCACATGTACTGTAGTACATATTATAGCAATGCAGACTTAAAAAAAAATCATGTCATGATTCAGATGTGGGAAGAATGATGTAACAGATCCCTAAATTATTGTGGAGAAATGGAATAATAACCCATAGTGACTTTCCCATGTGTTTTTCCAAAAGAGTGATAAATAAAGCAGCCAAAGTTAAATACTTTTGGTTAATAAGATAAAGGCCTAAATACAGTATAGAACTGTGCACAATTAGTTTACATGCAAGGTAGGAAACACAAGAAAAATATTTAAATAAATAAATAAATAAATAAATGTGGGTCAGCAGACAAAAAACACACAGGAAAGCCCAAGAATTATATCACAACATGGGATTTCACAGCACAGTGCAACATACATTTAAGACTGAGCAGCCATTAAAATAAAATGCCTGACTCTTACACACGGTCACAAACTTATTTGTGTTTTAGAAGAGAGAGAGTGTGTGTGTGTGTGTGTGTGTGTGTGTGTGTGTGTGTGTGTGTGTGAAATCTCTGAAATTACAGGGGACGTATTGGAGCATGGGAAGCTTCAGCCTCCCTGGCTATATTGCTCACAAATCAAGATAGCATTGCTGTGGCTTACCACTCACATTCATGCCAAAGATTGAAAATACCAGCTAGTGGATCACCTTTTTTTAAACTTTACTCCATACACATCCGACTAGGTATAAAGTGGAAATTTATTTGTTTATATAGCTCACTAACTGCAACCGTGTCAAGAAAACTGAGACATACTGTTTGAATGTTTTCAGTGAAGTTGCCCTTTTATTTGCTCTATAAAACAAACATTTTGTCAAGGTTTAATGTGGATCTACTCTAGAATTCAGTCTCCAAGTGTTATAAATCTTTGTATAGCCTCTTAGGCTACATGTTTTTATCAGTGACTAATTTGTGATTATGCTTGCAAAAACAAGAAAAACAAAAAAACCTGACTAGGGTGTATTTATTTCCCATTCAGAGCAGTATCCATGACCGGTAATTTAAGATTTATTTCTTATTTATTTATTTTTTTTTTTACTGCCACCCAGTAGCACATCTGTCAGCTGTGCTGTGATGTGCAGATTATCGTCCATGTCGCACATCATCAACACAGAAAGACAGTGTTTATTTTTTATTTTTCTATGTGCGATCCAAGTGTGATCCCTAATGAATTACAGCATTCAAATAGCCACAATTCTTCAAACCAAGTTTCCATGTTGAACTGGTTTAAAGTTAAAACTAATTCAAAAGAGATCCTGTGGTGAACTTCAAGTTAAATTAAGGGCCTTGTAAAAAGAGGGAATAATCCCATCAAATTTCTTGTTTTGTTTCATCTCCTTCCAGAGGTTGTTTTTTCTTTTCTGCTTAAAAGACACTCAGACTGTCCCGTGGTGAAGGTGTATTGCTTATTAAGAGGGAAAGTGGTTCCCTCAGAGTACTTCCTTTTCCCCTGTGGTAACATTGATCAGTACTCCAGAAAAGATTAGCATATCTCAGCTACTGTACTTTGAATTCTAATCTTGTCTGGTGATAACACATCTGTGGTTGTTGTAGCTGTCAGTTGATGAGAAGAATCTCACTGTTTGACAGAATTAATGAAAAAACTGTAATTGCTGATTTTATTGAACTCAGCTGTGTCAGTGTTGTTAGTTTGAGTCTTCTCTCTGCCCCTTTTCTCTCAGCAGGTGTGACCAGTAACCATGTGGTTGTTCCTGGGAAAGTGAATGCGGTACTGGGGAAGAACATCACACTGGGCTGCAGGATAGAGGTGGGCTCCAACCTAAGTCTCACACAGAGCTCCTGGGAACGCCGTCTTCCTTCAGGCACTCTTACCGTGGCAGTGTTCAATCCTCAGTATGGAACCTCATACTCTAAAGAATATGGCAAGCGGATCTCATTTGTTTCCCCTTCAATACAAGATGCTACCATTACCCTTAAAGAAGTTGGCTTTGCAGATAGCGGACTCTACACCTGTAAAGTGGCAACGTTTCCTCTGGGCAATAATGAAGCATCAACCGTTGTCAGTGTATTAGGTAAAGTAGAGCTCTCTCTCTCTCTTCCATCTTTTTCATGCTGTTCTTAAATCTCACTTTTCAAAGCAGGACATTGTTGGTTGAGATTAGGCAAAGCTTAGGGGACCACTAAGTGTTTCCCCTGGAGGAATTAACATCTCTCTGAAGACACTAGATGTCTTTTTAAATTGCTACCTGGACAGAGGCCATGTATATTTAAGTCCCTGCTGCAATCTACAGGTGAGTATAGGCTGCAGTGGCACTTAATGTGAACAAGTGCTACATCGGGTATAATTTCAAAGCACTATATTACTACTTTTTAGAAGTGTTGTTTCTCCTTGAGACTTTTGTTAAGGCCACTTATGTATGTAAGACACACATACAGTAAGGAAAACAAGGACTTTCTCCTCTTGTAGCAAACACCTAAACACAATGCAGAAAATTTACTGTGCTAACGAGATGCAACTTGGTTGCAAGCAAAAGATGTTAATTGCAGGGTGGGATACAGAGTAACTCTCATGCCCTCTCATTCAGTTGCATTTAAAGATGTATGAAAAGGTTTCACATGTACAATAACACTGGTCTTAAAACTACAGTGTGGAGCTATTTTCCCTCAAGTCCATGAGGGCTTTTTGCTCTGTTCTCTAAATCAAGATCTACTTATTTATTGTTTATATCAGTGTTGAAAACCTAAATGATACGTGTTTAATAGGGATTCTCGTTAGTGTTTTGTTGTTTTCCCAGAGTAACATGTACGTACACCATATGTGTGTACATACATGTTCTACACTGTATGGACCCTCTTTTCTGTGGAGCATGAATGTATGTGTATGTGTATGTGTTTTCAAGCCCTAAATAGGTGATTGAATTGCAGTCAAGTAGAGCTGAGAGTAGGAGACTGCACTGTAGGCAGAAGCTTCTTGTCTCCCTGCAGAGACTGAAGGAGACTGATAAATAACGAGTTGTAAATTAATTGATGAGTTCACTTACACCTGCCTCCATTCTCTAACTTCCCAGGCGTTATTTTTTTTTGTTTGTTTGTTTTTTTGGTTCATAGAAACACTTGCATGCACAGTCATACAAACACATGCTTAGGCCTACTTTACAATTCAGATGTAATTAGGGTGTGATTATGGTGGAAATGTATGTTCTTTGCAATTTGATGCATGTCGCGGGAATTAAGTTATTCCGCACTGCATTTATGTCTCAAAGGGTACATCACAATTATAAGCCCTTAAGTCAGCAGGTCCAGGTTCCCGCTGCAGCGATGAAGAGTGGCTTCATCTGCCTTGCTTGACTTGTACCTTTTTTGCAAGGCTGTTTCAGAAGGAGTAAGGTGGTTGTAGCCCAACAACCACTTCTCTGTATAATACATCAGTATATGAGAGTTGATTTACATATTGTTCTGACATACAGAATATTGGTTATACAGTATGTATTTATTTCAGTTCAAACTTAACTTGAAGTTCTTTGCTTCAATTCATGTCTATATATATTCCACATGTTTATGAGGGCACTTGACTTCACTTTCATTCCTTTCAAATGAACTAAACTGAAGCAATAAAAAGACTCAAACCCATGAATAATAGTCATGTCACTCATCATAATGATGGACAGGAGCAGAGGACACCAACTTAATTTCTAAAGTCACACACTTGATGCAAACCTTGTATTGGTTTCAAACAGTTATCACAAGACGCTCAACTCTCAATATTTGCATTGGCCCAACATTTTTTCTTTCTTTTTTTATCTTTGTGTTGACAACCCCTCATAGAAGAGGCTTAGTCATTTAAAAATTAGGAATTGTTCAGC